GATATCATCAAAGAAGTGTGGTTTTGACACTTATTTGTATAGCATGCAAGAATAAAATACATAGACACACAAATATGAGGGATCCCCCAAATTGGAATTTATTTATAAAAAATTGTATAGTTTTTCTTCCATGTTTAAACTTCGGTGGCCTTCAAAGTACTCTCCACTTGACGCAACACAACTACTGAGACCACTCAAAATGTTTTTTGAGCTAATGGATTTTGATGCTTTTTAGTGCCTCTGCCATTTTTTTTTTGTTGTTTCGCTTCTTCCACATCAGCAAAACATTTACCTCTGAGGACATTTTTTATCCAGAAAACAACAACAAAAATGGTTGCTTAGGGCAAGATTGGGTGAATAGGGAGGGTGGGTCATGCCTTTTTGGGTTGAAAACTGCTGAGCCCTCAGCATGGTGTGGGCGGGTGTGCTTGTAAATCACCCATCATGAAATGGGCAAACGCGTTAAAAGACTCTTCACGAAAAATTCACTGAAACCCGATGCAGCCTCTCACAACAGCACCAGCTGGTACCCGGAAACAGATGGATTCCTAGAACACTCACCTAGTGGGGGAAGTGTATACTACAGGGACCCACCCTCTAGAAGATAATTCTGGTTTTTTGGGATCCCCTTCTATTATTTTTTCCTAAGAAAGGGTCTTTCTCTTCTGCTTTAAGAAACAAATAAAACCTGCTTATTTTTTCAAAGATCCATCGCCAAGGGTGTCAAAGTTCTTTTAAGTACCATACTGACTTTCAAAGGAATATTTAAAAGATAAATTTCTTAAAGATTTTATTATAAATTTTTTCTTCTTAGCACTTCAACCCTCTCTCGATCAAACTGTCATCTGCAGAGATATTAATATATGTTTTCTTGGCTTTTGAAATACAGTCACAGGTCAGTGTTGCTCACTTTAAAACTTGGTAGAGTGAGGTTATTCACTGTTCTAGGAACTGCAATAAATCTATGGCAAATCTAGAGGTTGGGAACTGAGCTACTCTGTGAAACTCCACGTTTTCTGAGCACTCTGGAAAACCTCTGTTTGTCTTAAAGCATCCTGCTCTATGTAAATCAGTACAGGACGTGGCAAATGCCATCTGATCAGAGTGGTGGTGAGGCATCTGCAGAAGTCATGCTGTGTTGACCTAATGAAAGCTCTGCCTTCAGAGAGGTAGAAAATTAGTTGTTTCTGAAGGTTATAAAGTTCTAAGCCATTGCTCGACACCTGAGTGCATTAATCTCATTATGTGGGTTGTTTTCATAGTTAAGGAGTAGCTTGTCAGACTGCTAACTGTCCATGTCACTTTTCTAAGCAATTAGGTAATAAATTGGATATAATGTGTAATATCTCAGGATTTTTGTTATAATGAACAATATTATGTTAAATTTCCTGCACTCAAATGTTCTTCAGCAGTATCATACAGGGTGGGGCAAAAGGTATACAGTTGTGAGTATGTGAAACAGAGTTTATTCTTTATTTATTAATTATTGAAGTATTCTCTATATGAACAACTATAGACCTACCTTTTTCCCACCCTGTGTAAATCTTGTGTTTTCTGACCTGTGAAAACTGCAAAAACTGAAAAGTTCAGGCGAGACTCCCTTTTGCTAATACATGTATCAGTTTTCTTCACCTAAGAATATTTGACTTTCAGAAATCATATACAATATATTTGATAAGATGTACATTTTATTAAATTTGCACTTGAGACCTTTAACTCCTAAATAATAGCCCAATTTGTAATGAATCCTGAGAGGTCAGGAATTTTGCCTAAATTTTATGTTATCATGTTACATTTTTTATGGATGTCACTTATGATCTTGAAGTTTAATATTATAAATCATAAATTAATTCAAACATTGAATATGCATGTTTTAAGATACAATGTGTTAAAATGTTTTATATTTTTGAGCATATTACAATCTGTAAAACACATGATTGTATTATTTCACTTACTTTTCATTATTATTTGTCTCATTTGTGAATTGAGGAGATTTAAATGAGGAGTTTGACATGGTCAACAGAAGGGCACATTGCTAGTTGGGGACGAAGCAAAGGCTGGAGCACAGATATAGTTGGATATCTTCCCCATGATGATACATGAGAACTAATACATAGTTTCTGTTATTACAGTAGTATTTTGTGCAATATGTAAAGCTTCCTTTCTCAACAATTGTGGCTATTTATTGCTTTCTGATAGCACGAATCAATCATATCACTGAGGAATTTTGCAAATAATGTCTCCTAGGAGCCCTCTGACGAATTTTTGGGTTGGAATCTGCCCTGTTGCAGGTACAGGTGTTCTGTGCTACTGCATGAAAAAAAAATGTAAATGAGGGCTTCCTGAACATCAGCAGCGATAAATTTTGATTGAAATGTTGGATGACTTTACACAAAAAAATAATGCTATTTTATGACTTAGACCAAATTCTGAAGCTTTTACCATTATTCACCACATTATTTTTGAAATTCACCGTATTATTTTTTCTCTCTTTTAGAACAATGTGATTTCTACTATTGCAGATTTTTTAAATAAGCTGTAGTTGAAAAAGCCACAGTTTCCAATCAAAATTTCACCAGCCTTTTGTATCCCCCTTGTTTTGGTTGCACAGCAAAGAAGAGAAACTGTGTCCCCAGTGGAGAGGCCACAAGGAAGGCTTTATGTAGAAGCCAAAGTTAGAGTCATGCCAACAGGCAGATGGAACCCAAGTCTGAATAAGAAGATTCTGAGCCAGGCATCTTGCTGGGGCTGTAATGCTTTATTATAGCTGGGTGTGCCCTGATTTCACCATCTTTATTACCAGGATTCCAGCTATTTATGAATTGAATTCCCATGTAGTTATCTTGCTGTTATTGTAAAATGCCACATGATATTCTGTGCTAAGTCAATAAATGCCTCGTGCCACCGCCGTATTTACTTTGGGTCTGTAATCTCTGGGCTTTACCCTTTTCCTGACATTTTCCAAGTCTCTCCCTGCAAATCAGCTGGCCAGGAAGCGGCTTCCTTTCAGCAGCTGACAGTCTTCGTTCGGCTGCAGAGCTCACCACCAATTCACACCCCAGGGACTGTCCGCCCCAGGAAGAGATTTGCTATCAGCTGGCCGACACTTTGGTTATTTAAAAAAATTACTCCTAGGATTTGGACTTCTTGCAGGTAATTCTCAGAGAAACATGATAAAAATATTGGTTGTTTGAAGCTTAAGTTTAAAAATAAGGAGAAGCAATAAAGCAGGATCATTTGAATTGGAGAAACAGGGGGTTTCAAGAGGTCATGGGATACATTTTCTAATTCAGAGACTTTCAAACTCTTTTGAACAACATACACAATAAGAAGTACTATTTACAATGTGAATTACAATCATATACATGCTACAATTGAAACCGAAGTGTTATAAAACAATTCTCATCCTTCTTACATAGAATTGTCAAAGAATAATTTTTTTAAAGTTAAAAACATGATTTTCACAAAAAATAAACATCTCAAAAATTTTACTCAACTAATTAATTAATAAAGGGACCAATAAGATATTGAGATCGGTTAAAAGATCATTTGAGGGGCTTGGTATTTATCTGAAACTTAATAAAAAATGTGTTAAGATTGCTAGGTTGGACACAGTAAAATCAGTCATAACCTTAGGGTTATCTTCCACCGTAGAGAAATTATTTATGCCGTAAGTAGGTCATGATTTAGTTTAAATAGTACTACTCCAGTGTGCAAACAGAACACCCCCTAAACACTCCTGGCCAAGGCAAGTTTCTCTCCCAGTCTTAGGAATAAAGTGCTAATGAGGAGGAGGAGGAAGAGAACAGAGGAGGTAGGGAGGAGGGACAGGAGAAGGAGGGACCTCAGCCATCTGTTTTCAGAGACCTCAGTATTCTGTAAAGTGATATGACATTTTATAAAAGGCAATTCTTTTCTCTCACAAAACCCAAATTTTGTTTATGTTGTAACTTAGGCTCTTTCCCCCCTGATTAGAGTGGAATATTTTTGCAGCTATGGAAGAAGGTGATTAATTACCCACTGCCTCATTTCACAGATTGGGAAACTGATTTCGGGAACTAAGATGGTCGGCTCCGCCACCCAGTAATTCCATAGGGTGGCCCCCCCGGGGTGTAGCCATGGCAAGAGAAGGGCAGTCTCTAGACTCAAAGGCCTGTAAGACTTCCTGTGAGTGACAGTCACCTGATAGAAGACCCCCAGCAAAGCTGTCTGGGTCTGAGGTGCTGTGTTTCTAAAATAGAGACAGAGCTGTAAAGAAAATCAGAGGATAAAAAACATGTAAATGTCTTTGTAAAGCTAAAAATCACCTTGAAAATGTAAAGTAACTTTACTTATTCCAGTCACTTTATTGTGTATATTTTCCATCCTTGGGTGGCTTGTAACATCTAAGAGGTAAATGAACTTATCTAGAAATAATTGAGATCATGGGTAAAAGATTCCCTCCTTCAGTCTAGTGAATTTTTGTAAGTGCTTTCTCACTTCTACATATACTATATTAAAATATTTAAAGATGTGATAGTTATTACTACTAACAGATTATCACTGTAAAATGCTTTAAAAATTTCAAATTAAGGAGCACCATTTTGATAAAATGTACTATTATTACAGAAGACTTTCCACCTATAGAGGCTTCTAATTATGCTTTTCATGCATAAAAAATGCAACTAGAAAAACTGATAAATGGCCAACAGCTACTTCCCTGCTGATTATACAAAATTTCATTATAGTAGAACATTTAACAATTTAATTCTAAGCTCTCTCAGGAATAGCCTATAAAATGTTTTGCTTAGCTCTCTTTTTAAGCTGTGAGTTTTGGGTTTGGATAAAAGATATGCTGAACCTTTGCCACAAGCAAAGTTAAGTGAGTAAATTATAAGATGTGACCTTGAAGATGACAGGTGGAGACAGAAGAAATAAAATCAAAACACGCCCAGTTGTTTTCTTCCCTCCTTATTCTTGGATGCTGGTTGTTGAAATGGAAATGAGACAGCTTTACTGCAATGGCTACTCTCCTGATTCCTAAGATACAAGTTTTTAAATCCCTGTATTATTTTAAAAAACATTCTAGGAGTGTTTATGCCTTTTACAAAGGGCCTCAGACAGTGGCGGTAACAGGGTTTTCTCTTTTTCAGTTCCTTCTTCTACCTCCACCTGCTTCCCTGCTTCTTCTGCTTACACCCGTCATCTTGGGATCACTGCAGGCAACAGAGTGGTGCCAGAGCTTGTGCAGGCAGAACCTCCCTCTGAGAACCAGCAATGGTAAAGCCGAGGGTGGCCTACCAGGGGATGTCTATTCACAGCTGTGAAGCATGCATCCAGAAGGTGTATACGCCACTGTATGCCCAGGAATCTTCCTTTGGTTTCTCCATTACTGGACTGAAATCGCCAGTTTGCGCATCATTTCTTATTGCTGATTTTTGGAATCTAATTCTCTTCCTTTCCAAGGTTGTTTGTTGAAGATTAGTTACCTCATTTATACTCAGAAATGCTTCCTTCTCTTATTTCTACCACGATGTTCTGCCCCTCTGCTATGGACCCCTTCTTAGTCACACTCCTCCTCTCCCCATGCTTCAGCCGCAGCACACACTGCACACTTCATGCCCATTCGAGTAGAAGACTTTCGTCATTTGAAACCCAAGAGATGATCTTGGGTTTCAAATCAGTTTAACCTGTGCTTGTACAGTGGTGCTTAGTAGCTGCGTGACCTTGCAGGAGAGTAAACAAATAATTTCTTCTACCTTCTTAGGTTCAGTATCTTGGGTCCTATGAGTTAAACTGGCAAAGGGAGGATTAACAAGACACATAGTTTATTACATAGGCATATGGAAGCTTTCATAGAAACATAGTGAAGAGTCCAAGAAGTAGCTGGAACCCGTGGCTGATATACCATTTCAACAAAGAGCAACAAATTTGTGAAAAGTTCCAAGACAAAGGAAAAGAGGTTTAGGATTTTAGGGGTGTCCAACAGTGGGGAGATAAATCCACGGGGAAACCAGTGGAAGGTAAAGGTTGTCTACCAAGGTTTGTGATGTAGATCCCCCTTGGTGTCATCGCTGGGCTGATTAGAGTCTGCAGTCACCTCCAGTGCAGGCAGATAGGAGGACAGCGAAGCAAAGGCCTTTTTGAAAGTCTGTTGTTTCTCTTTTGCCTTTAGCTTAAAATAATCTTTTAATCTTTTAAAACGTGGTATATTTTTTGGTGGTGTATTCTGATTGCCTTCAACCATAACAATTCTAGGTTCCTCAGAATTATACTCTGTTAAAAAAGAAAGTAAAACCTTGTGTAATTGTGGGAATAAATATCTAAATATCTCTTACCACTGTCTTCACAAGGCTGTTTCCTTCTCAGTGTTTCTGTGCAAAGGTGCAAAGGTCCTCTTTATTCCTAGCGTTTCTGAATTTATTCTTCATTTTCCTTCCTCCTGTAATTTTTTTCCTCTTAAGTTAACTTATCCTTCTGGTGAGAAGGAAGAAGAAGCTGAAGAGGGGTAAAGACAACGAAGTGGTGAGAGACTGAGGAAGTTTAAATGTTTATCATTTTGGTCCTGCTCCAAAACATATAGAAGCCATATTATAACCTTTTCCTGTAATACCCCTTTATCTCTGGTTCACCTCCATTTACTAAGAACGCAGTTCTATGAGTCTGAAGACCCAACCCAGATTTTATACAAGAACCATAGTTGGAAGTAACTTTTCTCACCCTAAACGTGCATGGAGATTTTTCTGTCTTTTAATGTTATTTGTTTATTTATTTGTATTGTCCTGACCACTTTTCACATTTTAGGAAATATTTCAAGTTTCTTGTTTAGTTGACTCCTGAAACAACCTCTCTCTTAGTGTTTTACGGCATGAGAATGAGATAAATGATTGTATTTAAGTGGCTGAATTCAGGTCTAGAAATAGAAAGATTATATTTAATTAATAATTATGAATGGGTAACATCCTTGTACTATTACTATTTTACCAATACTAAAGGTTGTAGAAGAAAAAAATACTGAAAGGTTAATTCGTTCTTTGGGCCCATGCTGATTCTCTACTGGCCACTTAGGTTGCCCCTTGTGCCAATAATTTAGCAGTGTGAGAAGTGATTATTTTTCTTACATATCTTCATGGGTTCTTTGCCTGGTAGCAATTCTGATAACTCCTGATTTAGGCAGAATTCAAATCAAGAACCTTAGGCAAAGCTGCTATGCCATCACTAAATCTGTGAGCCCCTTATCTTCCAGTTTGGAAGTTTCAAATGAAGTTCTTTTCTTTCTTTCTTTTTTTACAACTTCACATACACTGTTAAAGCAGACTATCAAAATTTGACCTTTTCTTGAAGTTTTAGAAATTGGATAAAAGGAAGTCAGGGAGTGATTTCATTTTAGCTGAATTTCCCATAGGAGGGCTGCAGAGAGTTGTGGATATCATTTGATGGGAATGAATTCATGATAATCTATAGTTTAAAGCTAGAAAAATGTACCCATTTATGGCAGCCAGGTGTTGTGTGAAAATAGGACACTATACTATACATCGCTGCTTTATTTCTTCAAGACGTTCTGTGAGTTGTCTTTTGCAAAATACCAAGAGCACATCTGTACTTTTTACTTCTTCAATGACCAAGAATAGTATAGGAAAAGGAGAAGCCAAAGAGCTTACATTCTCCCTCCATGGACATGAACTTGGGGAGGAATGATTGCTGGAGGGAAGGAGGACACTGGGTGGTGGGGGGCAAAGGAAAAAATGTGGGACAACTGTAACAGCACAGTCAATTCAATATACTTAAAAATGACCAAAGGGGCAGTATGCCCTATATTTAAGGAGAAGAGAGTACATAGTTGGTGACAAAATAGATATATATTTTTGAAACTAAACTATGATTCAGTTATCTAGAAGGTTAGCTTATAATTGCATTTGTGTTACTATAATTGATTCCATTTGAAAATTGTAATTTTGCAAACAGAACTAACTTGCTCCTTCCTTACACCATCGCTTTCGTACAATTAAGTTCATATGCATGCCTCAAAGGGGAAAAAATGGAAGGCATGTCTTTCTTTAACTGCCTATCTCTGTCTTATCCTAAATTTGTTTTCACGGTGATTATTCTTCTGAAGGAAGGCAAAGCATGAATGATTTTCCTTGTAACATAAAAAATGTTGACTTAATTGGTTTTAATAGTTGATTCTGTTTTCTGATTTCAACTCTTTTTCCTGACAAGCTCCTGTTTCCTGTTTTCCAGCCCGCCTCCCCATCCTGGAGCTTGGCAGGAAGACATGAAAAGACTGTTGAAAAAATTGCCTCATGCCTCTAGCAGTCTGTGTTTCACCTTAACGGTTAATAATTACTTGTTGAATGAGAGCTTAATTTTCCCTTCTATGTAAGACTTGAGATGTGGCAGAAAGCAGTAAGTTGGAGATGGTGACTTCTGAGGACAATTAGGAGTATCAAAGCGGTGCACCGAACACCTGTGAGCAGGGAGGAGCTAGGAAGAAAGGGACAGATACAGGTTGTGCCGACTGGGAAACCTCAGTTAGCCATCCAGATTCACTGGATTAGTGAGATCCGTGAGTTTAGAGACTAACCCTTTCTTTGTTCTTGTTGTCTTATCTCTTCTTCATCTGGCACAGTACCTGGCACGGGGGCACAGAAAACTGCTATTAATAAGCTTGTGATTAATATAAACAGAAATACTGTTCTGTAAATGCAAAATTGAATTAAATGATTCTCTTTATAATCTCTGAGATATTTTAAGTTACTCCATAGTGTTTTGAAAGATGATTCTCTTTTGATAGACAACATGTTCATATTTTAAAAATGATAGTAAAGCTATCTGGATACTTATTATGAAGCCAAACAGCAATGTTAACCATTTACTTATTTTTAATCTTCAGTGGCACAGCAGTGCTTCACATTTTGTAATAAAATATTTCATGATGCAGGCAGAAGGACTTTTACATTTTCTATTTTGGGATGAGAAGTAGGATTTCCAATCAGTACAGCACCCTTTAGAGTCACTCAACTGATGCTTGTGTATTTGGGGGAAAAGAAACGAAGAACATGAAGAGATTTCCTGAGAGAGTTAGAGTGAACAGTGATTAAGCTTACACCATAAAAATCACCATTTCTGATTAGTTCAGTTCAATTAATTCCATCTATCTACCCATTCCTTAATTCATTTATTTAATCAAGCATCATTTATTGAAAAACCTATTTTGTGTTGGGCTCTGTGCAAAGCCCTGGAGATACAGGGATTAAATACGCCATCAGAGAATCCATAGTCTGGTGGTGAGGACTGGGCTGTAACTGCAATAGCCAAGGGCAGTGCAAGTGTTATGCTTGGGAACTAGAGGCACACAGAGCAGGCAGCTGGTGCTACTGTAAGTCACAAATGACATGATAACCACACACATGGAAGGCAAGGGGGTGCCAAACAGAGACAGAAACATGGTCCTCACTGAAGTTGAAAATGTTCTCTGCCCTCAGGGAGCTAACAATTCTCATTTCCCTTAGTTTTGATGCATATCTTATAGACAGTCAGCCTTGAAGATAGCTTTAGCTCTGATGGCTTCAGTAAGTTCTCTCTCTGGTAATAAACACTGTGTGTGTAATCCTAGGTCTCCAGTTGCTTCTAAGATTCCTAACTCGTGCACTTCCATTTCCTCTGCTAAAAGACCTCATCACTACCATGATTTTTTATTTTTGTGCAGTGCTATATTCAAAAGTCACCTAGAAGTACAGCAAGAAAATCCAACCAACTAATGTTAAGTTTGGTGACTGTGACATGCTCATAAAGTTTTCAATATTATCTATGAAATACTATAAACCTGTTTGTCCCAAGAAAACCTATGCATGACTGTTTTAATTAAATCTCTCAAACCAAACAGGTTTCTGCAGGATATAATCCAGCCATTCAGGTGCGAAAGGCTGGAACCTATTTGCATATTCACAACCCTGGTAGGATAAAATAAATTTCTTTCTGACTTGTCTGGGTTCTGCAGATACTACAAAAACTATTGTATATTGAAGCATTCTCCTAAAAGACTAATTTAGGGCAGTTCTAAAATATTATAACTGTGAAAATAGAGTGTAAGCTCATGGGGCAAAGACTGTTTTAATTTTGGTTCTCTTTAGTGCTTTGAAAGTGCTGTGTCGGCCTAAAGCTCCTTATAGATATGTAAATAAAAATGAAATAATTAGCTGAACTAGAATAAAGACAACAGACTCTTGCTTACAAAAAAACTTTTATGATAGAAGAAATAACCAGATTTTAGAAGATGC